GAGGCAATCTCCTTCGATTCCGGTGAAAAGATGCTAAGCTTTCGTCCTCCATATAACGGACATCTTCAGAGCGAGGTTACATCGTCACAACAAAATTTAAGCTAACGAGTCAAGAAAACTCAACAACTTCACTCGAAATGGAATTAAGCTTAACAATTATGAAACAAGAGATACCTCGAAACCCAACTTTTTTTTGCGAATATAAGTCTGCCCAATTGACAATCCCACAATAAATATGCACTCTGATAGTCCTGGATAGCACTTTTAATGGTGTTGCACAGTAGTAACATGTCGAGAAAAAAAGTCTTACTAGCAAAAGCCAGGTTCGATTCCAGTTGGTGATGGTGATGAGACCCAGTAGAGATAGAAATTACAGTCCGGTCCTGCCCGAATGAGAATTCCTTTGGTGGGGTAAAGCCATATACAATTCACTGGAAGCTCGATGTCTACCCATATCATTATGGGAAAATTAATTTATCAGTCCTCTATCATCATATGTAATCTAGGCTGATAATAAACCTTATTTTCTCACTTTCTTGACATAGCCCCAACACAACTGGAGTTCTGAAGCGGCCTCTGCTGAAGACGACGAAATGTATGATAATGAAGCTGCATGTTCTTCACTCTAATCCCACCGGGAGTGTTTATGAGACTCAGATAAAGTCAAAACTGCACTCCACTCTCGATAAGGACCCACTTCTGTGAATCATGGTGGACTGACGTTCTGAGGTGAAGGTGAGTTTTCGTACCAGTTCATCTTGGACGACTACATTACTTATGTGCATATTAAGTAGTTTACGAAATTGCCACATTATTTTGCATAATAGCTGTATTCACTTATGGTCCGCCAGATAATGACAGAGCTGAGAGTTGATTTTTTGCACATTAAATTTCCTTTAGCCTTATTTCACAAATGGCATGCTCATTCAGAGTTGACTGGAGTTTCACACTCTACCATCAGGCAAAACCGGCACAGTGGCCAGTGTATCATAGAGCGGTGTTTTGAAGACTTGCGCTCAGTAGTAAAGTTCATGATGAAGAGATTCGAAGGACGATCTTACCAGAAGACGACGGCTAGTTTGCGTTGTACTTGACGTAGTCCCTGAGGCATCCTCCCTCGTTTTGGGCGAAAACAGACTGAACTTCTGTTCGTCATATCATAAACAACGCCAGAGCTGGGACCTATTCTGGCAAAAGCCACCAGTTAGCACTAGGTCAGGAAGATTGACCTGCTCTTTCCTACCATATATAAACAATTTTTTTTTTAATATTTAGGTATGGATGGATATAGAAAGCACTCGTCGTCTTCTATTGAAATCGACCTACGAATCTGTTCATTATGCACTTTCATACGTACTGAAAGTCTTCACAACAATGTTATCTTAGTAGACTCATCGAATATCACAGAGCAGACGTGAACTTCAAAACAATTAAAACCTTTTCAATCCCACATTTTTTGTTGTGATATAGTGGATGAGGCAAACTGGTATTTCCTATTCCAATCGTGACGTAATGTTACTAAGTTGGGTCCAAATCAGGCTTCAAAAAGCCCAAAACGGCTGAGAACTCTGGGAACATTAGAAGGACTATGACGACTCCGAACTCCCCAAAGGGTCTAGGTTGGAGGGTCGTGAGAGGTACCAACCTTTGGATGGCCGTCAGTTGGTTGCACAATCGCAACTTCTCCTCCACGAGTCGGCGAGTGCTGGTCTCCTGTTCTGTCGTGTCCACGGGGACTACAGCCCCGGCCCCGGTTCCGGCCTGGCCGGCCGCCAGACTCGCTCCGGCTCCAGCCTCCCCACCGGCCAACTGGACCCGAGCCGAGGCCGCCTGTATGGCCTCCTCGGCCCTGGCCACGGCCTGGACACACGCCTCCTCGGCCTCGTTGGCCCGACGCTCCGTGCGCACCAGACGGGCTCGGAGTTCTTCAACTTCGCTGCCGGCCTGTAGGACTGCTCGGTCTCGAGCGCGTTGCGCCTTGCTCAGCTCAACCTCGAAATCGGCTCTCGTGCGTTGCAGCTCGACTGAATAGCAAACCAGACGCCAGGCAGCGACGTAAAGTTAAGGGATGATTAAGAGAAAGTATTTTTTGAAGCTCACTTACATTTAGAATAAAGCTGTGTGTGATCAAGCGATTGGTGTAGCCCAACTACACCAGAAAATGATTACGGATTTCTTTTGGTCAGCTGTCGGTTGACATCACTCGAACATTTTAGCCCGGTGGTTCCCAAACTTTTTCTATTCGCGGCGCCCTTCTTCAATTAAAATTTTTCCATAGCGCTCTACCCTAAGAATGACTATTCGTAGGTAAGAGATAAAAATAAATAAAACTCGAATATCTTTATTTTATTTTTTTACTTAAATAACATTATATTAATATTCAATAATTAATGTGATGGATGAGCCTGCAAACCACTGCACATTTTCTCAAGTCGTGGAATTAAACCGAACACGGCCAGCCTCATTTCCTTTTCCACGTTGATTTTTGCTGCATACTTGCTTTTTATTACAGCGACCGCTGAAAACTTCTTTTTCGCACAAATACGAAATCGAAAATAGAATTACAATCCGCTGAGCCTTATCACTTAGAAGGGGATATTCATCTTTTATTGAAATGCAGAATTCTGTCAATTCCATGCTACCAAATTTTGCTTTTACAACATTTCGCGGCGCCCGTGACGGAGCCTGTGGCGCACAGTTTGAGACTCACTGATCTAGCCGATGCTGTCCGGTGAAAACCTGCTAACATTCGTTATACAATGAACATTCTCAGAGCGAGCTACCATTCTTTTAACTATATTTAAGCTAACAAGTAAAGAGTACTCACCAGCTTATGCCTAAACGCGGTAAATATACCCTAAATATATGAATTTATACGAGGTATAAAGAGCTATGGTCATTCAAAGTCAAATGTTAATCCAGAAGCCTGTGTGTGTCTGTCTGTCTGTGTCTGTGTTGTAAGCTTATGTGCCTTCATGAGTACGTACATGTACGAACCAAGAAGTGATCACTCAAATTAATTAAAAAAGAGCATAAGATATATCCTCGGTCATCAAGATTTAATGAACATTATCAATCCCTTTTTTAGATTTCAGCTAGTTATTAGTATTATATATCAGGGTACAAAAGCACTAGTTCACTGTCAATAACTGTGTCTAATACATTATCTCTTTTTACAAATAATACCAATTTTCACTCATTTGATACTTATTTTCACATAATATCATAGTTAGAGATGAAAGACATCAACCGTTTTTGAACTTTGACATGTTGTCGTATGAAATT